AGACTAGATTAATATTACTATATTTGGTATCTATTATGGGCTAGATGCTCGAGGAGCCAAGATAGCCAGAATGAATATTTATGAATTCACGAAGAGTCGAAGTTAAGCTTCTGCTACCGAAGTTATATATCTGCCCCCCGAAGCTAACATTAGGTCCGAGGTTCCAGCCGGTCCTGGGCCGAGACAAGACCTCCAGGGCGTAGCCCATCACAATATCTACGTATAGGTATAAGACGTTAGATAAGAAGAGAAGGTCCTCTTCCCCTTAGCTAATATAGATCTATTATCTCGCTTCGTTATATACCCTTACTAAGGGTAGCTAGTACTATGTTTCGACTAATTAGCTAGTAGAAGGGTCACTCTTATACTATTTTATTGGCTGGCTACTAGCGCGTGATACCTCTAAGATATACTACTACTAGTAGTATATCCATACTTGTTCGGTAGCCTAGGGTTACCGTAATAGGGCGCTCTAGTTCTACTATGGTAGTAATATATTGGCGAGAGATTACTAAGTAAGGAGATAATATATTCTTGGCCTACTATTATTATAAGGGGTTTCCACGTACCTAACCATAGGTTCGGACCTTACGGGTATTTAGTAATTCGAGCGTAAGGGATGGTAGTACTAAAGAGGTTAGGTGAATATCCTACACCATATAATAGTACGATACAACAAATATCAAGAGAAGGCTAATAGTTTGTATAAAGATGAGTGGCTTTAATTTAGATATAAAAGTAAGCTTTTAAAGTTAACTATAAGGAATAGGAAATATCTAAAGAGTGTCCTACACTATATACCATTCATCCCATTCTTCTATCCCCTAGAATCCCAAGGGCTCCCTAGGATCCTACCCTCTTAGTGGGATATCTTCGCTATCTCCCACCGAGTCTTCAGTCTCCTAGGATCCCCTAGTCTTGGCGGGATCCTGGTCACGTGACCACTAATATAATTCCAATAGGCGTCTAGCGTGTTGAGATACGTCAGCCTCTAGCCTAGGGGGTCCTATTATTCTACTAGACATCTTTATCTTCCTGCCGTTATTCTATATAATTATAACATTACCTCCCCCCTTAAGGTTATCATCCTAATACCTTATAGGAGTCCTATAACCTATTATAGCGGCGTTATTAGAGAGTATTAAGGTGGGCGCTTCCCCTAGTATACCTATTATATCGTATCCTCCTCTAGTTCCTCCTAGCCTCCCTAACTATGCCTAAGGTACTAAAGCTATTATTAACTAATAAATATTATTAGCGCGCTAATAAGGTGTACATATATAGTCTAGAAATACCTATATATTATAAATACTATAAAGATAAGAATATCCCTAAGTATTTTATAGATACTTTAAGTAGGAAGTATACCACATATATTACTATTTATTTAGACTATAGCTTATAGGTTTTAGAGAAGGAGTGGGAGCGCATTTAGCTTCTAAAGTATTAGAAGTAGATTACTTTACTAATAGCTAAGGCGGAAGCTACTTAGGCGACTACTAAGACTACTTGTTTAAAACTTAAGATCACTTAAGTAGAAGAAGAGGAGTAGGCTTTTACTATATATAATACTTATATAGCTAACATATTAGAGCATTTAGAAGAGGAGGCTTTAAAGAGTATAGATACTAATATTAATCTTATACCATTGCCATGCGCACTTTTAGCTAACCTAGGCTAGCTATAGGCTAATTCTTTTACTTCCTTTAACTTTTCTAGCTTTATTAACTTTATTCCCTCTTCCCTAGATCTCTCTAGACTCGAGTTTCCGTTCCGTAAAACTTCTCCAGTAATTCATTA